GGCATTCTTTTGTGATAGAAATGATGGTTTTTACCCTTTCCGCATTTATTTAAAATTATTATTTTCTCTCTCTTTAATTTCATCACCTGAGAATATCCATTGAAGACTATATAGAACGGGCTTTCGAAAGATCGGATGTCGGAAACTATTCACCAGTGAAGGTTAAAAAGGTTTGGACCCAAAAGCTGGACCTCAGCGTGGGCCCGGGACGGCCTCTTGATTGGACTGTTTTGGCTGAAATTGTTCACAAATGGCTCCAGGAGGGGCTAAATCAGACTTGGTTGAGTAGTTAGGAAAATGGTATCTGTAGCGCGTTTTAGTACACCCCCTCAAACGGAATTAATCGGAAAAATGACGGAAAATGCTATTACAAAAATCCCACATGTGCAGAAAATTATAAAAAAGAATATCTAAAAGATTATGATAATATAACATTATCAATTAAAATAAAGCAATATATTGAAGAGATTATCAAGATGGAAAAAAATATTATTTATGATTATTTGCTTAGTCTAGTAAATTTTATAAATAAATATTTTGTTAATCCAACAGAGGATAATCTTAGGATTGTTGATTGGTATTTTATTGATTTGATAATAAACAAAGATAAAATAATTGTAAGAGGATTATTTTACGAACTTGGTTTATTTATTGAAGATAGCATACTTATTGAGGGTATACTTGAATTAGAATCAAGAATAAATGAAATTGAAATTTAAAAGTTTATGTCTTCTAATATAATCAAGTTATTAGAAGACACCATGTCTAACCAATCACTTAATAGTTTTCAGGGTTCTCAACCCTTTATAACAGATAATGAATATAAGAGTTTATCTCTTGAACAATTAAGATATATATTAAGTCAAAAGAAAAAAACAGTACAAAAAAGTTATAAGGAATTGAGTGAAAAAGAAAAAATAATTAGGGATATAAGAAGACTTGATAAGCTTAATGAAAAAGTAAAGAAAGGAGTTGATATAAAGAAGAAATATAAGAAAAAGAAAGTTACCTCTAAAAAGAAAAAGATAAAAACATTTGATGAGTATTTTGAGGAATGTATAAAAAATAAAGAAATACCCAAAGATACTCCAGACTATTTAAGAAAAGCTCTTGAACAAGCAATGAGAGAATATGGCCAAGGACTTGTAAAAGAAAAATCATCTCTTGCAGGTTTTGCAAATAAATATGTAATTGAAGGAATTTTTGGTCTTGATCCAATTGATTACTTTGATAGTATAAATGATGCTTTAGTTTATTTTTTTACTTATCATAGAAATATAAAATTTAAGTTAGTTTTAGTTTGCATGATGGAAAAACACGAAGTAGATAAAAATAACGGTCTTTTTAATATACAAGAAGATAAGGCTTATTTTAATTCACCAACATATACTAATCTAGAATCAAGTAATGTTGAAAATTTAATATTTTTTAGTAAAGAAAATATTTTAGCAAGAATGGAAATGTATTCAGAAAAAGCAAGTAATTGGGTTTTTAAAGAAGTTGTAAAATTTGAAATTCATACTGTTGAGTTTAACCCAACTAAGGGATCATCTTATATTGATCTTCCTTCTTGGATAAAAAATATGAAGTCATGAAAGATTGAAAATTTCAAAACAACAATAACAACAAAACGAAAAGAAAAAGACGAGACAAAACAAGAAATGTCATCTCATACCCAGATCATAAAGGTTGATTTGAGTGTTTTGTCCTCATCTGTAGAAATATAATCTCTCGTATTTTCACTTCTCTTTCCTCTTCTTCTTCTTCTTCTTCGTCTTCTACTTCTCGGTCCTTCATAAGACTGCACTGTATCCAGGAGGATGTAGCTAACGATTAACCATAAGCTCATGAACACAAAAAGGCTTTTGGTATCCATTGTAAAGATTTTCTCATTGAATGCGAAGAAATCTTAGAGAAAGGTTGTTTTGAACGTATTTTCCTCACCAGGACCTGCAATTAAAAAACAAAGGAGAACTACCAGGTGTAAAGTATAACGGAGATTGGGTTACAGAGCACCTAAAAGGGTTTAATTTTTTCGTCAAAGGGAAATCTACGAGCCTTCTTCGTTTTAGTTTACACTTGGCTTTTACTTCAAAAATCCTTTGTACTCTTTTCTTTCTTTGTTCTTGATTGTCCTGTCCTGTTTGTTTATCCTCCACATTTGTCGTTTAGAACACTCGGAATAAAGCACCACCTCAATTTACGTGGCATGCAACGATTATTGACGTCAGACTTGCTTTTTATATCTTTTTGTCACTTGTTTTTCTAGGTGTTTTTGAACTTGACGGCATGTAGAAAGTCAACAGAGCGTTTTCACTCACGTGACCCGCGTCTATACTAATTTATTGAAACAAAAGAAAGCATTTACATGCATGAGAAACTGAAGAGTTCAACTCCCAGAGGATTTTCTCGGTACACCAACATGGCTGCTGTGACGTCATGTGAAAACGCTCTATTGCGTCCCTACCATTTTGACCAACATAAATGCAATCTCGTTCAACTTGTGAACAAGAAACAAAGGAAGCGTAATTATTTTCATATTCGATGTTTTTCTAGCTTTTATAGACAATACAAAACAACACAATCAATACTGGTTTATTCATGATGTTTAACAATATACAAAAGTGGATAAGAACACATTCAAAAACAAGAACTGAGATAAGAAAATAAAAATAAAATACATCGGGAAAAGGAAACAGGAGATCTACCCTATAACGTTTCCTAAATAAGAATAAAAATACGTTAAACTATTACCTATCACTATTTACATATTCACTATTTACATATTCACATATTTAAAAAACCACTTCAAGAACCTCGCTTTAAACAGTTTAAAAGATTCTAATTCAACCACATACTGCAGTGAATTATTCCATTTAATTCCATTCATTCCATTAAATTATATCCCACTTCCTGGTAAATTGAATCGTTATTTTTATACTCTGTCGCCATTTGTAGCAACACCTGCAACAACACTCTATAAAATGATAAAAAAGCTGTCGCACTTTGTAATGAAAGTGGAAGTAGAACTGTTTTGTGTGTTATTAAGCGTTGTTGCCGACTGTGAGTAAAGCTACAACTGCATGGACTTTATGGGTGCCACGATTTGTTTGTTAGCTGTCTAGTTCGGCCCGTAAGTTGTTGCTGTCTTTCTAACTTCTAATTTCAAATTATCTGTCATGTGAGCATATTTGTGGCTTCGATATGTTAATTGTCGAGATAGCGGTTGCTTGGGAAGGCAATAAGACGAAAAAGAGGCAAGGTTTGTGCTAGCAGAGGGACAACTAAAGAAGATCACTTTGGCACTCACGCGAATCAGTCTCCTTGAAAGACTGAGGCTCCATCACTAGAAAACGAAAAAGCAGCCATATCCATCTATTCAGCTAGGACCAAAGGCAGGTCTGCTCTATGTAACGCCGACCTTCGAATATTTTATCAAAAAAGGTTATCAATTTAATTAATTCTTCCGGTCATGTAAATACTAAAACCCTTGATATGTAATATAAAGAAGTCCGGGACGTGAGATGCTTGTAAAACTGCTGAACCCAGCGCTGAAAACTGTATCTGTACTTTATTCCGAGTGCAACCAGTGTCCAGTGAGTCTTCGCGGTAGATCCATAATAGGAGACCCACGCGTGTTTCAAGGTCTGGATTTCAAGTCCTTTGTTTAAAGGAAGATATGTCCCAGTCGGTAGTCCACTAATTATTATTGCGGCTTTGCTCTTCGCTGTCTTCGTCATAGTTTCAAACCAATTTCATGGTTTTCGCCATACATTTCATCTTTCTCGATCAAGGCCTTGGAATGCACTCTAACTCTAACATTTTCTCAAACGTCTTTGAAGCTTTCTGACCTTTCGTGGAATTGCGAATAATCTAACGTCTTTCATTCTTTATATTTGCGCCCAGGTTTTCATTCGACTAAAACGAGAGGGTTCAGAAAATCAAGATCACCCGTGGCATTTCACTCCTGTATTTAAGTGACCCCAGAATCTCGATTGAAAGACGTAATATGAAAAGGCCTATAAAGACGTACTTAAAAGGTCAAAAAACTAACTAGTTGGACTCTTTTTCTGTTTATCGCTTTACACACCCTTACCTTTAAAATTAACACACGATTAGCTTCTGACCCTTTCAAATCTTAAGCTTTACTCCTTCTTTAGTTGTTTAGTCTTGGACAAAAATGCTCTTTAAATGCGCCAGTGGCCTGCCATCAGTCATCCTCTCCATTCTTCCAGGCATATGCTAATACCTTTGTCTTATAAGCGTGTCCGCCACTCTTCATTACTGGCATCTTTTGACATTATTTTCTGAAATGTTAGTTTTGTACGATCACCAAGGATTTTATATTCATCTACTGCTTCTCTAGAGAGTGGAGGAAACTGAGGCCGAAGCATAATAATAATAAGAAAAAAAAACAACAACAACAACAACAAACCTTGAAGAGATATTTGGCATTCTTTTGTGATAGAAATGATGGTTTTTACCCTTTCCGCATTTATTTAAAATTATTATTTTCTCTCTCTTTAATTTCATCACCTGAGAATATCCATTGAAGACTATATAGAACGTTTGTTTCAAATTTATCAAAAGAAGATTTTCATAATACAAAACATGTATTCAAGAAAAATGTAGATCTACTAACTCGTAAGGGAGTTTATCCTTATGATTATGTTTCATCACTTGATAAATTATCAGAAACATGTTTACCACCCAAAGAGGAATTTTACTCCCAACTTCATGATGAAGATATTAGTGATGATGATTACCAACACGCTATTCGCGTTTGGAATACTTTTGGATGTAAAACAATAAGAGATTATCACGATCTTTATCTGAAATCTGATGTATTACTGTTAGCAGATGTATTTGAGTCCTTTAGGAAAACTTGTCTCAAACATTACAACCTAGATCCAGCACATTATTACACATCTCCCGGACTAGCTTGGGATGCATGTCTAAAAGAAACAGGCCAGCAATTACAGTTACTACATGATTATGATATGTTAATGATGTTTGAGAGAGGTATACGTGGTGGAATTACACATATATCAAAGAGATATGCAGAAGCAAATAATAAATATATGAAATCTTACAATCCTGTTAAGGAGTCAACATTTATTCAATATTTAGACGCAAACAATCTTTATGGTTGGGCGATGTCTCAAAATCTTCCTACACATGGATTTAAATGGATGAAAAATATTACAAAAGAAAAGGTAATGGATATTCTTGAGAAAGCAAATCATAGTATGTTAAATCTTGGGAGAAAAGGATATATATTTGAAGTTGATTTGGAATATCCACCTGGACTATGGGAATCGCATAATGGTTATCCTCTTGCACCTGAGAAGATTATTGTTAATGGTGTTGAAAAACTTATTTGTCATTTTAAACCCCGTAAAAACTATGTTGTTCATTATCGAAATCTTAGACAGTATCTTGAGTTGGGTATGAGAATAACTGCTGTTCATAGAGGAATATCATTTTATCAATCTCCTTGGATGGAGCCTTACATAAGAAAAAATACAGAACTTCGAAAAACAGCAGCTAACAGTTTTGAGAAAGACTTTTTTAAACTTATGAATAATTCAGTTTTTGGTAAAACAATTGAAAACATAAGGAAGAGGCAAAATATAGAACTTGTTGATAATCGTAAAAAAGCTGTTAAGCTAACAAGTAAACCCAACTTTGATAGAGTAACAATATTTGATAAAAATCTTATAGCAGTTCATATGAAGCAGACAGAAGTGTATTTTAACAAACCAGTGTATGTTGGTCAAGCAATTCTAGATTTATCAAAAACAATGATGTTCAATTTTCATTACACATATATTAAAGAGAAATATGGAAACAATGCAGAATTATTGTTTACAGATACGGATTCATTGATGTACCAAATTAAAACAAAAGATTTTTATAAAGATATAAGTCCTGATATTTTAACAAAGTTTGATACTTCTGATTATCCTCCTAATCATCCTTCTGGAATACTAACAGGTGCTAATAAAAAAGTGATTGGAATGTTTAAAGATGAAGTAGCAGGAAAACAAATAACACATTTTGTTGGATTGCGTCCCAAACTTTATAGTTTTAAAATTGAAGAGGAAAGGGAAGTAAGAAAGTGTAAAGGAATAAAGAAAAATGTTATAAAAAAGAAATTAGATTTTGATGATTATAAAGACTGTTTATTTTTGGATAAAAAACAAATGAGATCTATGAAAATAATAAGAAGTGAAAAACATGATATATATTCAAAAGAAGTTAATAAAATAGCTTTGAGTAATGAAGATGATAAAAGAATAGTCTTAGAGGATAAGGTACACACCTTGGCTTTTAGATAAAAAATATTTAAAAGTAAATAAAGTATAAATAATAAATGTCATACACAGAAGATCAAATAAAAAAATATTTAGAAATATTACATAATTATAATAAACAACCTGAAGTGAGTAAAAAAGCTAAATGTTGTAATTGCACAAATACTGAATTTTTTACAATAGATTCTGGGTACAAAATTTGTGATGAATGTGGTACAGAAAACGGTCATGTATTAGGATTATTTGATGTAAAAGATTTGGATAGATTACATTATAGAAAAAAGAGTATTTACCATAGGAAATACCACTATGAGAAAAAGGTAAATGAAATTTCTAAAAGAATAAAACTAAATGATGAAGAAAAATGTGAACTTTATGATAAACTAACAAAAATAGATAATCATATCATGGAAATACTAAACAAGCAATACTTCAGAAAGAGAATGATAAATATTAATTATTTAACCAAAAAATTTTTGGAGGAGATGGGATGTGAAAAGTATAAACTTATTGAACTTAAGATTAGTTCTATAACTTTAGAGATTTATGAAAAATGGTGGAATTGTTATAAAGGGTTAAACAAATAAATATTTTTAATAAAATGAGTAATAATGTTGCTAATACACCTAAAATTGAAGCAAAAAAATTGTTTTTACAAGTTCAAGAAGGAGAAAGTTTCTTATTTGAATATTTTTTTGAAGTTAATAGTCCACCAGATGGTATATCTAAAGAAGATTACATGAAAGAATTAAAGAGTGAGTATAGGAAATTAAAAAGAGAAGAAGCAAGAAGATTGTTATCTCAATCTATTTGATATTTAAAGATAATAATTAAATAAATAAAATGGCTTCTAATCCTAGTCAAATTTACTCAATAATATTTCAAAACGAATATTATCCATGTAACAGATTTGAAATAGGAAATAATATTAATAAAAAGGTATATATTTGTCACAGTGATAAACTATTAAAAGAATTTTTAGAATCTTGTAAAGAAGATAAAACTAATTTAGTTTATGATTATTTTAATTCTTATCCAGCTCCTAGAGTAATAGTACATGGAAAAGATTATGATAGAACATATAGATTTCATTACAATGAACCTAAAGTGGATGACAATAGATATAATCTTAATTCAGAAGAAATGGATAAAAAAGTAAAAGAAATAGCTAGAAGATATTTAGATGATGGTTATGGATCAATTAATATACTAAGTTTAGTTGGAAAATAATTTTATATTTGAGAGGGAGGCTCTGTTAACCTTATCTAAATATATAAATAAAATGCAAATACAAGTTAATCCTAGATCATTGTTAAATCTAGAACATATCTGTGAAGTTTTATATAAACTTCATCCATCAGTTTTAAATGACTTGATTAAAATGGAAAGATCTTTGGGAAAATTACTTGGTACTATAGATTTAGATAATTTATCATTGGAAGAAAGAGAATTCTTAGCTAATAATGCTAAGGAAGTAGATTTTTCAAAAGAATCTGTAAAAACTGAGGAACCAAAAACACAAGAAGAATTTTATAAAATGTTAGAATCTAAAGGAGTTAAAATACATAAAGTAAATTTTGATAATAAAAATGATGCTATTGATTTTTTAGAAAGATTTAATGAAACAAATGAAAAAAGTAAATTATTAAGTACTATTCGGAAGATGAAAGAACATGAAAATGCTTGTCGTTTTCACAATCTAAGAAAATATATTCAACTAGATTCTGATGAATATATTCCTATGAAAATTTATGTTGAAGTTGAAGATCCTGTTATAGGAAAAAAAGTAAAAGAATTGGTTGAGGCACTTGAAAAAACACGTGCTCCAGAACAATTCTATTTTAATAAAAAAGAATTAGATGAAGATGCTTATTTTGCTGAAGGTTATGGTCTTACAATGAATGAGGAACAGAAAAAAAAAAATGGAAGATTTTTTTTATGGAGAAGATGTAGAAGGATTAGAAAAACTTTTAAGAGAGAAAAAGTTATTTCCTTAATTTTTATATTTCAAAAATATAAAAATTGTAATTTTATATTAATCCTTTATGAAAACACCAGTAAATTATCCCAGTGAGATAACCAAGTACTTCACTTTCTTTGAAAGGTGTGTTGATAGCGTATACACACCCTCTTCCTATCTTATAGTGTTTCCAGAAAGCTTTAAAAGCTAAACTAAATATTAAATGATTGGTAATGATATTTGAATCTGAATTTAGGTAGTGCCTTACTTCTATAAGTCTGTAAATAATTTGATCAATGTCCAATTTTTGTGTAAAATACTTTGCATAGAGAAACTGGTAAACCAAACAAGCTTTTATATAATTTTCTGGATAAAGAGGAGTTTTATAAGTTGGAAAGCATAAATTTACATATTCTACAATTGTACTGATCATTTTATATTATGTTTAGAGTAAAAAAAATATAAAATTGAATTATAAGCTTAAAGAAATAAAAGTTTAAATAAAAATGACAAATATGTTGGAAAAAGTTTTTATAAATAGACATCTTGGAATAAAGATAAACTCATACATCGATCAAAAATGTAGAGTATGGTTTCAAGCTAAAGATGTGGCATCTATCTTAGGCTACAAAAATACAGAACATGCTATAAAAAGACATGTAAGTGAAAATCATAAAAGAACTTTTCTTTTTTGTTGCCCGCCTGAAACGCGCGGTCAACAAAATGACACTAGAGGAAAATATTGTATATTTTTAGATGAAGCTGGTTTTTATGAATTAGTTTTTAGGTCACGATTACCAGCTGCAAAAATGTTTCGTGAGTGGGTTTTTTCAAAGGTATTACCTTCTATAAGAAAATATGGATATTATAAATTTAGAGATTCAAGAATAAAACAAAGAGTTATAATTGATGGTGTAAAATACTATAAACATCCTGTTTTTAGTAATTACGCTGCAAAAAAAAAATGGAAATATAATAAATGTAAAAACTAAAAGAATTATAAAAATGATGAATAACGGATTTGGTTATTTATTTTTTAATATCTGTGATAAAAAACTTGAAAAACCAAAGAAATACTTACAACATAGATTTGTATACGAGGTTTTCAAAGGATCAATTCCGAGATTTTTTGAAATTGATCATCAGAATAATATAAGGAGCGACAACAGAATTAAAAACTTACAATTACTTACTCATAAGCAAAATGTTGAAAAAAGTAAAAATAAGGCAATAATTTCTACAAATTTAGAAACTGGAGAGGAAAGAAGATATAATTCTATTAAAAAAGCTGCAATTGATTTAGATGTTGATTCTGGTAATATTCCAAAAGTATGTCGAAAAAAAATATAATTTTTTAACATCTAAGAAAAATGGCCAAAAATACACATTTGAATATTTAATCCCTCTTTGATTAAATTTTGTTACTAAGTATTTCATAGAATTATTTCAATATTTATTTTAATATTGAAATTATTTTTATATTTAAGGGAGGGGGTCATATATTAAATTTATTTTTATACTTCTCAACAAAGTTATCAGCACTAGATGGACATTGATCAATTATCATTTCATCTAGAATCTTAATACGATCTATAAATTCTTGTTTATTCCACTCATCTCCTCTGAGTGCTGATCGTAGTTCTACTAATACTTTCTCATAAGTAGTATAAGCTAACTTTGTTGTTTCTATCTTCTTCTTAAAATCCTTCTTTTTTGTAATTCCAGCCACAATTACTCCTGCTCCATTTATTACTCCAAGAATAACAGGATTAAGTGTCAACCCTCCTGTGATAGTGCCAAAAGCAATAAGAGATAAACTAGTAATAGTAAAAAAATTATCTAGAAATTTATAACTCTTATAACATTTCTTATAACACCATTGTTTCTTATGGTAATGTTTATAAAGATCTGCAATAGTATTATATTGTTCCTTTGATAAATCTTTATCGATATGATTAAATTCAAAAATACTTTTTCTTTTACTACTATTTCTTTTCATTTATTCTTTTGTTTACATTATATAACTTCCATTTAACTTTTCTTGAAGAAGTATTTTGTGAAATTCTACAGAGCCAGTGTCGTAAAAGTTTGGTGAATACATAAACTTTTCTATTACTCCATCTTGATTTAAAAACTCAAATTTTTGATTAGCTGAATAACTAACAACTGGGCAAACTAATTCTGCGGAGTAGTTACTTATGTTAACTTTTGTAGTACTTTTATTAATACTTTCTGTTATCCATAAAACTATTTTTTTTCCATTAAGACTACTTGGAATTGTTATACTTCTTCTTGTACTACCAATATGTATATTTAGTGAATCATTTACATTAAGATAATGTAAAAAAAATAAATCTTGATTATTATTTATATCTTTTTTAGTTATGCTAAAATTCCTATTTCTCCAATGAGTAAAAACTAAACATAATGTGTAACTTGTTTGACCAGTAGCAGATGAATAATAAAGAGTATAACCATTAACATTCAATCCATCTTTTTTTATAATGTCAACTGTTTTATTTGGAAAAGTAAGATTTCTTGCAGAATTACCTGTAACCGAGGATAAAGCATTAAAAACAACTCCAGATGCTTGTTTATTTAATACATAACTATTTGCATCAGTAAAGTCAAAGAATTCACTAAAATATTTTCTGTAAACAAAATTTGTTGTATAATCAGGTAACTCATTAACCATAGCAACTGTGGCAGCGCTATTGTTACTGTTTCTATCGAGAGCAATATTTAGTATTTTTTTATTATTTGTGTTAATGTCAACATTATACTTAACTTCTGTTGGTTTAATATCAAATGCGGTGTGATAGTCGTAAACTTTATCTGGATCGATATTGCTAAATGTACCCATAATACCATAAGCAATCATATAAGTTCCTAAAAACTGTGTCGGATATGTATTCAAGTTATATCCACCACTAAGAATACTAACCAAAATGTGAAGAGAGAACCTATTCCCAGATGACAACTTCCGGAATTAATTATTATTCTATGGTAGTACATAGTTTGTGTTTTCCCTGTTGAATCAGTATACTTATGGGATAGTTTTTTTACACCTACATTTCCAATTGACAATCCTTTTGAAGTTCCTTTGTCAACACTTATTTGACTATTATTCCAAAGATTATAATCAGTGTTGAGTATTTCCAAACATAATGTGTAATCAGTATTTGCAGTTAGTCTGTAAAAATTAATTCCCATCTTATATTTATATTTACCTTCTAAATTTTTAACTATAGTCATGTAAATAACTTTGTGGTTATAGTCATGAAAATTACCTTTAGAAGGAGATAAGTCTCCTATACTTCTTATAAGAAAACTAAATCCACTATCTATTTCATCAGTCCATTGTGCCCCACTTGACATGAGGTAACTAAACTCATCTTTATAATCGCTTGGTTGAACTGCAGTATGATGAACTAGATTGTCGACATAACCTTTTGTTACTGCTTCATTGTCTTGGGTTGGTACACCCAGATTCTCTATTTTATTACCACCAAGGTTGACATCAGCTTTTACAACCCCACTTATTACAATTTTAGGTGTGTTGATTTCTATTCTCTTAAGTGGTTTGGTTATTGCTTTTGGCAGATCAGTGAATAACCGACAAGTGATAGCTGTGTGATTTGAATTGTTATGGGTTCTTAGTTTTACTCCTGACATATTATAATTCCAAGACTTGTGAATATTTAATGACCAAGTGCCAGTTCGATTTCCACTTACCCAAAAATTAGAATTGGAATGAGAGTTATCTCTGGGAATAAACCACAAAAAGTCAACGTTTATATTTCGCGAACCAAATTGAAATTCTATTTTGTTAATGTATGTGTTAGCAGTTGGTGTCCACCCTACAAGAGGTTGACCAGGTGCTGATGTTGTAAAAACAAAAGCATCAAATGATGAACCTGAGATATAGTGTAGATACAAAGTCGTGGGAGCAGCTGGATCTGTTATAGTAAATACACCACTTATTCCATCTCCAGAATGATGATCAAGGCGGTCTATTTGTTTACGAACCCATCCGCGATTAGCAGCTTGTTGATCTGTGGTGGGGTCACTGAGGTTATCTATTTTATTATTACCAACATTAAGATTACCAGTCATTGCAACAGTACCATCTTTTTCCAAGTAATCACTTAAATCTGGACTTCCACTATTATCATCCACATATTTCTTTGTTGCAGCATCTGTATTTGATGTTGGAGTTGCAAGACCAACTATTTTATTACCACCAAGATTTAGGTTACCAGTCATTGCAACACTACCATCTTTTTTCAAATAATTACTCATAGCCACATGATTTAATAAAAGTGTATCATCTACATATTTTTTGTTTGCAGCATCATTTAAGCTTGTTGGTAAAGCTAAGTGTTTTATTTTATTGTTATTCATGTTTAAATTACCATTCATACTATTTGTTCCAGTAACATGTAAATATTTTATTTCTGTGAAAGCTAATGTTGTTGGTTCTTTGGGATCAGATGGATTTGGAAGATTTAATATTTTATTGTCATCCATATTAAGATTTCCTTTCATTGGGTAAGATCCATCTGTATCAAGAAATGTGTTGTCTACGTAATATTTTGTTGCTGGATCTTTAGAATCCAATGGTGTGCTAAGATTTTTAATTCGGTATGTATCTTTCATATCAATGTCTGAATCAACTGTTAAATTTGATGTTTTGGGTGATCCACTGGAATTATCATCAACATACTTTTTTGTAGCAGCATCAGTATTAGCAATAGGTGCACCAACATTTCTTAGTTTTTTATTTATAATATCATAATGACCACTTGAAGTGAGATTAAACCCTACTCCTGGAGCACCTTGTACTCCTTTAGCAAAGGGATGATTAGCAGAATGTTCGTTAAATATTCCCATTTATAATAATAATTATATTCTTTTTAGCAGGGGGGCTCAGGGGGGTGCAACCCCCCAATAAAGTTTTTTGCAATACGTTTTTTTGGTTTATCAACGTATAAAAATGAATATGCAGGTTTTTTAGTTGCTGAGTGGTAATCTTCTTTACTAACTCCCAACTCAGATGATATTCTGTTTGCTTCCCTCGATGATGGAAATTCGTATAAACAGTAATGAGAACAATTCAGCCGAATATCTTTTGGTGTTTTATAAAATGATTGACTTAGGTACACCACCGAACAATTCTTGTGTCGTCCTTGAATGAAATAATCTATTAACTGTCTCTGGTTTTTATCGTAAACGTAGTCATCAAATATCACAAGTTTTTGGTTGTCTTCATAATCCATTTCTGTCACGGGGATTACTTCATCATTACTCACATGAAGAATTTCATATCCCACTTTATGACTTAACTCTCTCATTTTTTGAATTAGCTTTTGATACTTATCCTGTTCTAGATTACGCGCGTAAAGATAAATCTCCTCATAGTGCAGTAGTGGTTTAATTAACATATGATACAGCAGATTAGTCTTACCACTTCCACTGTTTCCACAGATTAACATCCGAAATGTATCTGAAGGCATGTAAGAAAATAATTGTTTATATTTTTTATCTGGGTTGTCACCACTATCATAGTTTGGTATTTCCATTTTATCTAATATACATATTAAATAAAATGGATATCCAAGAATACAAAAAACTTGCAAAAAATAAAATTGAAGCTGACACTTTAACTCAACAGGTGAGAGATGTCATAAAAATAACAAAATGGCAAAAACAAGATATGAGAGAGGGTTTTAAAGAGACATTTAAACCACTTATTAAATCTCAAGATAGCATTAAAAAAAGTATTGATGAGCAGCAAAACGCAACTATAGCACAACTTAAAGCTAATCAACTTGCTCTTACACAAGGTCTTAATCAAAACAGACTTGCTATAACTGAAGGATTTGATAAAATGGATGAAGTAAAAAAATGGGATTTGGCTCAATTACCTGGTTTTGAGGCGATTGAAAAGCCTAAAGAAGATGATGTAGTTTTACCCTCTACATCAGATGAGGGACCAAAAATAGCAAAATTCACACCTGAAGACCTCGATAGATATTTAAATAGTAAAGATTCACAAGATATACTAAAAACTAACGAATATCACAAACTCCCTTCTGAGTATTTTAAAGAAGATATTTCTACCATTAATAAAGTAATTGATGATGTTAATGAAGATTTAGAAAATTTGAGTGCAAAAATAAAAAATACTGCAGATTTTGTACGAGACGCAAATGGTTATGTTTTAGCTCAACCAAAAAGTAAAAAACCACGAGAAGAAACATTAGATAACATAAAAAATTATAACATATTAAGCATGTATGCAGCAAATATAAGTAATATTAAACTTTACAAAGAAAAATCTGGATCTGGAATGATTTACTTTAACAACCCACATCAACTTCTAGACAGACTTGAATTACTCGGTGGTTCAATTCTTGCTGGGAATAATGGTGTAATACCTGAGTTTTCTCATATAGCACATCTTCTCAACCAAATGAAAGTGATCTCAAAGAAACAACTTAATAATTTACTAAAAAATTATATACTTAATAAATAAAATGGAAGAACGAGCTATTCACATTTCCTCATTTAATAGGGAAAAAAGAGGAATAAACAAACCTGGTGATTTTACTATTAAGTTTAATCCATCTCTGAAACTCAACCCTGATAAGAAACATGAACTTGCTCTTGATCGGCTTTCCATGACTTACTCTTGGTACAACATTAGAAGTGATTACGACAACAATAAAATCAAATATACTCATGATGGAACCACCTGGCAAACAATTACTTTTACAGATGGAATGTATTCCTACTCAGATATCAATGATTACATTCATCAATATATGTCTCAAAAGTCTCACCACTCAACAGATTCAAGTGGAAAAAAGACTTATTCAATCAATCTAACTTTTATACTATCTACATATCGAGTTTTAGTATCACTTGAAGGTGATTATCAACTTGATCTGAGAGGAACAAAATTTGGAGACCTGATTGGATTTGAAAAGAAACTTATTACAAAAACAGAGTATGGAACAAAACTACCAAATATCACAAATTCGATTGATGTATTAAATATCAACACAACTGCAATAACTAATAGCATTGTAAATGGAATAAACACAAATACCATTGCTGTGGTACCAACTGATAATCTCACAAGGTCTTATCCATTTACTTTTGAGCCTAAAAGACCTTTGTATTGTCCTTTATCATCTAATAATATAGATGAAATGAGAATATATGTAACAGACTCACTTGGAAGACCAGTAAATTTTAATGGTATAGATTGGTTTATGACTTTGATACTTCACTCGATGTAATATAACTATTAAAATAAAATGAATCGACAATCAGAGTTTAAAATGAAACTTGACCCTGAATTGGGATATATACAAGACAACATATTTATGGAGAAGGAATGATGGATGTGTTTAAATCAGTTGGTAAAAAAATATTTGGAAAGACAGTAAAAAAAGCTGTTAAAAGGGGTGCCCAAAAAGCGGTAACAGCAGCTGCAACAAAAACTGGTGATCATGTAGGCAAAAAGGCTGGTGATAAAATAGTTCAAATGTTATCCAAAGGGGAGGTAAAATCCACCCGAAACCCTCCTGCAAAAAAAGTTACTTTTAATAAAAATGTTGAGATAATTAACACCCCTGGAAAAAAAGTTAAAACAATTCCAAACACTCAACAAGAGATAAATAAAAGAGTGAATAGAATTCTTAGTGGAGGAGGGCGTAAGAGAAAATTATATAATTATTAAAAAAAAATGAAGTCTTTTAGAAATCCAAAATATTTAGAAAGATATGAAGATGTTGTTTTTGACCTTGAGCAGGCTTTAGCCGCACCTGCAAATAATGCTCATCAAACTAAAACAGGTCATAGATTTGTTGCTGATAACACAGGAGAAGCTACTCCTTTTGATTGGTATAACGCGCGATTTTCAGTAGATTTTAAAGTTCAACTTTTAGATGGAAATAATTTTAATAATAATAACGCACAATCGGGGATAGTAAATGGTTCAAGTAGTTTAATTGAAAAGTTATCCATCCTAGCAAATGGTAGAGATGTTTACAGTTGCAACTATGCTAATCATGTAGTAAATATTAAGAATTTGCTTGAGTATAATCCATCTTATGCTGAAAGTGTTGCAACAAATGAATTATATTATCTTGATACATCAAGAAATGCTCATGCTACTGAATTTACAATTAATAACACAAATGTTACTGGAGGAGCTAACGTTGTAAAAGGTAGAGAAGCTAATTATAACAAAGGTTTTGCAATAAGAAGAACACTAATAGGCAACTCAGCAACAATTAGTTGTGAAATTCCCTTAAACAGATATTCTTTCTTTGAATCTTTAGAGGACAAACTTCTTCCAAATACAAAAATTGAGCTGAATATAGAACTAGAATCGGATAACAATCTTATCTGGCGAACTGGAGGTAATGATTGTAGAGTTGTACTAACAAGATTTCAATTATTTATTCCAAGATTAACATTTAACTCAGAAGGGCAAAAACTGTATATGGAAAATTATCTCAAACCCTACAAATGGGTTTATCTTAATGAAGTAGTAGAGCGATCAAATAACTCTCAACAGCAAACAGGTCATTTTAGAATTACAAATGCAATCTCAAAACCTCGACATGTATTTGTTTTTGGAATTAATGAAGCCAATATTGATTCGCAAACAGCAAATCCATTTCTATACAACACTTTTAATCTTCCAAACAATGCTGGTATGTCTCGCTGTTATCTTGAGGTTGGAAATGGAAATGAGTACCCTGATATCAGGGACCGCGGAGGGGGAGGGGCTGGTAGGGCCGCGGCCCCACCACTTTTTTGCGCCCCCGCCCCCACTTTTTGCGCTAAAAAGAAAAATAATTAAAATAAAAAAAAGACTTGAAACAAGTTTTTTCCGTCTATATTCCGCTATATTCTCTTTATTTTCTTTAATTTCAAACGCCAGGCATTTTGTGGGGCTCCTGTGCTTTTCGCGGTAATTGTGCTCTGGGGCCGACTTGCCCCTTGATCAAACGCCATGCCTTGGCCACCCCTTCGCTTCTTTCGGCAGCGTGTTTTGTACCTCCAGCTCCGGCAGAGTTTTTTATCAGTTTTATCAGACGAAATGAAGGAAATTACTAGCTTTTTCAAGTCAAACGAAGGTGAGTAGTTGTTTTGAGTTGATAAAAGTTTTATCTTTTGTCAGTTTCTCCTTTCGAATCAATGAAATATTCGATGGCAAGAAGAATTACATTACTTGAACAGTGAACGGCCATAGTTAGAAATTTTTCAGATCACTTCAGTGTAGTATTTTCTATACTAAAATTGTAATCGCGTCTTTTCTTGCATTGAATCTGAACTGACCGTGTATGTTGGCCGACCTATAAAGAGCAACAAATACACTGGATAAAGTATGCAAAGTCACGCGACAGAAACAAATCAAATACTATGATTTTATTCCCTTTTTCGATTTTCAATATGAAAAAATTATTTTCAATTGTCAGCCCTGCCACTTTTCACCTTGCTCCGCGGTCCCTGGATATTCATTTTAAACCAGCTACAGATCCAGCAAGAGTTTTTAGAGAAGTAATGTCATACGTATATGCAAATAATGACTTTCAAGGTGGAACACTTCTCACTAGAACAAATTTTAATAATTTGTTCCCATTTGTTTATTTTGATCTTACAAAACAAAAATTAGATATCAAAGATGGAGTTACAAAATTATCATTTCACTACGAACTATCTGCTAATCCAAATGCTGATTATAATTTATACGCTTTAATACTTCACGAACGAGTGGCAGAAATTGAACAGCAAGGAGGAAAACTATTACTACGTGCATAATCCAATTATAAAATAAATGATTACTATTAAAGATGTTAAAAAATATTTAACTAAAAGAAGATTATCACTCCAATCCTTATATTATTTTTTCTTTCTTTACTTTAGAGGAATCTTTTAAACACAAAAATGTTATACCAATAACTTTTTACCATGATGAAAAAGATTATGAAATAAGAGGGAATAGTATTAAAATAAATATAAAAGATTTTATTTTATCTTTTAAAACAATAGAAGCTAATACAAAACAAATTGTTAATTTTCTTAAGGATGTTAGACCTGATATAAAATTTAAAACTAAAGGTAAAAAATTTGATACAAAACCAATACCCATACCAGATTTAATTCCAGAAGAAAAAATAAAGGTTAAAAACAAACCAGATCTTATTCCCAAAACAAAAAGTAAACCAAAGAAGATAAAAATTCCAGATTCTAAAGCGGTAAAAGAATTAATAAAAGTAATTAAGAATCCACATACAAAAGATATTCTTGGCATTAATATGCCTGTTAATAAAATAAAAAATTTATCTGAAGAAGATGTAATAGCTTTTACTTGGTTTCTTAAACATTTGATATAAGGTTCCCCTAACACCCCTCCCTTACTACACCATGAACATTTTCAAACTAATTAAAAAACTTAACCACCAACTGAAATAAAGATTTTTTTTAATATATGACTAATAATAAATAATGTTAAAGTTACTAGGTATTAAACGATTAACTCCATCTCAAGAAGAAGTATTTAAAAAATTATTTAAAAATAAAATAGGTATATATAAACCAAGTATTACTTTTCTTACTATTAAACAAAAAAGGGATTTTGAAAAAAGATGTGTAGAAGAAAAAATATTTAGTTCTTACGAAATTAATGTTGACTATAAATATAAAAATGATTATAATAAAGTTGCTTTTCTTATATATCTAACAAAAGAAAAAGCAAAAGCAAATATAAATGCAATAAAGAATGAAAAAAAATATACTATTAAATTTTCTGGGGTACACTTTAAAAAAGTTTGCCGTCAAACACTTAATAATAATATAATACTAACTAACCTTATTGTTAAAGCATTAGAAATTGAAGGGGAAGATAACCCAGGTATTTATTTTCCTCCAAAAGCTGATTATTGGTCATTACCACCAAGTAAAGAAGTTACTCTCTATAAAAATCCATCCAGTAAAACATATACAATTGGGTCTAAAAAGAAAACAGCTAAAAATGATTTTATGAAAAAATTTAAGATTAAAGATAAAATAGGAAATTATTATCCAAAATTAATTTATTTAGAAAATAAAGTATTAGTAAAATATTTAACTAAAGTCAAAAAAATTATTAAAGCAGAAATTAAATTTGGAAAAGAAAAAGTAAATAAATTTGATGATGTATATATTCTAGAAAATATTTCATTACTCCAATTTAATAAATCAAAAGGATTTATATTTTACTTCACAAAATCACAAATAAATAAATTAATAGATGCAAGAAAGGAAGGAATAAACAAAAGTAAAATGAGTATGATATTAAGTATAAGTCAACTTGCAAAAACTTATAAAGAAGTAATAAGAATAAATAGTTATATCTATAATTATAAAGCTTTTAGAAGATTTAACCAACAAAAATCAAATACACCAAAACTATTAGCTATTACTGATAAACCTCATAATAAACAAGAACTATTAAAACTTACAGAAGATTTAATAGATTTTGTTAATGAAGAAAAAGATTTAATAGACTTTGGTGATGAAGAGATAAAAGATTTAATTGATTTAGATACTATTATTCCAAATCCAAAACCAACTCCAAAAGATCTGCTTAATGATGAAGAGTTATTTCCAAAAGGTAAAAAGTATAAAGTTTTACAAAATGAAGATCTTATTCCAATAAATACAAATCCATCTACTAATGGTATTAATATTCTAAAAAATATTTTAAACTACCCTGAAACAAAAAGAATACTTGGCATAAGTTTAACATCAGATCTAAAAGAAAAAATAAAAAATTTAGACTCTGAAGCATCATTTGGTATGGCAAGTATACTAAGTTCTCTTTTAACAGCAAATCGTGGAAAAATGTCAATATACTCAATAAGTAGAAATCAATTAAAAGAAATTATTGAAGGATTTATTACAACATTAAGTGTGCTACTAAACCCTACACAAAAATATTAATATAATTCTATAAATAAAATGACAACATATATTGAATACGGAGTAAAACTTACAGATGGACAAAAGTCAAAATTGGCTTCTGCAATATTAAATAAATCACCACTAACTCTTCGGTTAAAACATGGACATCTTCGAGGTTCTGATGAGTTAATGTTAACCCGCAGACAAATTTCTAAAATAAAAAAATCTATTGCAAACGGAACAGGATCAGATATAAAAATAAGTAAAACACAGATTAGACGTTCTGTAAAACATGGTGGAAAGTTATTTTCATCACTCGCATCTCTTGGAGCGCGAGTACTACCTTACGCTATAAAAGGAGTTTCAAAAGCTGTTCCTGCATTAGCAACTGGTGCTGCTACTGCACTCGGAGAAATTGGATTAAATAAAATATTTGGAAAAGGAATCACAATTCCCCCAAAGTTTTTTCCAATGTTACCACCTCTTGTAAGAGAATTTACCAAATCTCAAATAAATCAAATTAACAAAGCACATCAAACAGGTGGACGATTGGTTATAAAACCAACTCGTAAACAGATAGAAGGAGGATTTCTTGGAACTCTTGCTTCTATTGGAATTCCAATGGCAATTAGTTTAGTATCTAAAATGTTTGGTGGTGGACTGCAGGTTGATAGAAGTGGATCATCTAATACAGCAAATGTTTATGTTCCACCTCCTCCTCCATCCACACATGGTGAAGGTTATCCTTATCACTCACCACCTTTTATCGGTACATGGGAAAGCCCAGTTGGAATGGGGGTTAAAAAAAAAAAGACCAAATCCAAAGGTTCAGGACTACTACTAGGAAAAAAAAGCCCATTCAACTCAATTCCCATTCTAGGGTCCATTTTGTAATTAAACCTCTATCCAACTTTGACCTCATGGAATGGATAAAAAGACTTGGTATTAAACATTTTAGAGGAATTTACAGTAGGGATGGACTACCCCATAAGATAAAAAAAGAATGTGGAATAATTAATCTAGATGATATGAAAGGTCCTGGAACACATTGGGTTTGTTATAGAAATATAGACAATGTAGTTGAGTACTTCGATCCATTTGGTTTAAAAATGCCAAATGAAGCATTAAAGTATTTTCGTACTTCTGGAAAACGTATAGTGTACTCAATGGATGAAATACAAAATCGCAATACTGTTCTCTGTGGTTATTGGTGTTTATATTATTTATTTGAGCGACAGCGGGGTAATAGTATTCTAAATGTAATACATAACCCACATTTTGATGATGATAACAGTGATTTCATACAAGAATATTTCTCTTAAGATTAAATAAAATATTTTTATTTAATCTATGAAATTTTATATAAATAGATAATTACCCTTTATTATATTATTCAACGTAATTGATTTCTCACTTATTTCCATAAGCAACTCAAATATTTTTATAAATCTAGTGTCATTTTCCATTCTATAATGTACAGCATTTTCATAACTCATGTTTAGATTATTGTATATTTTTTGAAGTTCACTTTTAACGAAATTAGATCTATTAGACATATTTTATCTAATCATTATATTAAATGAAAGAATCATATTGCATTGTAGATAAAAGAGTAACTCCTTGCACAGAACCAAGTGGTTACCAAAAAGATAAAAGAGGTAGAACTCAATTCTACTGCAGATGCGCAGTTTGTGGAAACAAAAAAGTTAGATACGTAAAAACTGGAACAACTTCTCAAAGTGGAAGTGGAAAAAAGAGAAAAACAAAAAAGAAGTCAAAAAACTAATCAGCCCGTCAGTGATGGCGGGCAAAGGTGTTTCTGATGCTTTTGGACCAATCAAAACAGGAATAAATGTAGGACAAAAAATTTCAGAAACCTTGTTTCCTCAAACAAAGCAAACATTTAAAGATTATTGGTCTGGTGATACTGCCAAAGGTGTTGTTAATTCAGAAGATGGAATATTTACTTCCAATTTCTGGACTGGCAAAACAACTGTGTTTCGTTACGATGGTAAAAAATTTTATCTCAAAGAAGGTAATACCATAATGATTGTTAAGAAAAATGGCAAACAAATTGGCTATGCTCATGTAAAAGATTTTTTTAGTGGTGGTTTAGGAACCAACAAAATATACAAATCTTTAGCGGAAGTTAAAAATAAATACGGTTCAGGTCTTTTTGATACTGTAGTTGGTACTGCAGTTGATGGATTTGTTCATTACGGTTTACCTTGGATGGGTAAAAAAGCAGTTGAAATGGGACGATATAAAGCAAGTGAGTTAATGAGAAATAAAAATCTTCAGAAGAAAGCTGTAAATTATGGGATTAATAAACTCACTCCATTTATTCAAGATTCTGTTGGAACAGCAATGGATCAGTTATCAACAAAAGTAAGACCAAATAAAAAGTATAAAACTGATAGACCAAAATTGGATGGAAGAGGAATAGATATTCACAATGCTATTCTCAAAGTAGCACCCAGTAAAGGTTTTGTTTTACCAGGTCATAATTATACTGGTCCTGGTAATCCTCTTCATAATCAACTACGTCATGATGATGAGGGTAATATATTAGAAATCTACCAACAACCAACAGGACCAACTGATGCGGTTAGTATGCAACATGATGTGGATTACACAGTTTGTGGAAATAAACCAAAAAGTGAACAAGTAAAATGTAAAAATGAAGCTGATAGAAAAATGATAAAATCACTAGATTCCATTCCTTGGAAAAATAGACAATGGGGGCATGCTATTGCTAGAACTATGATAAATACAAAACAAAAACTTGGAATGGGTTTAAACGCGAGTCGGCGTTGAGTAGTGATTGGTCTCAACAATTAGCCGACGAACTTCACAAACCAATCACAAGAAACTTT